TTGATTCCAACTTTTTGGTTGGACAGAATTGGAATCTCATTCCCTTTCCTGGTGGAATGGCTTTCCCCCATTTGAGGGAATGGTCATTCCCTCCCCCTCACTTGAGAATGAAATTCTATTCCTACTGATTCCAATTCTCATTCTCATTCCTGTCTGAACCAAACAAACTATAGGAGTAGACATTCCAATTCCAACTACGAACAAACGGACCTTGGCATTTTATGAATGGGTTTTTTTTAAGTTTTAAAGTCATTTGGGGGTGAAAAAAAAAAACTTATTTCACGGAAAAGATGCACTATTTCTCTTTTTATTTTTTTGGGCAAATTTCTTAAAATAGCCTTATGGTTTAACTAATTGACTAACTCTACCCTTACTATTTACATATTATCTTAAAGTACCCTTACTGTTTCTGACAATTGTCTTAAACCTCCCCTACTGTTCACATGTGCCTTCAAGTAACTATATATTTTTTGGAAAATCCTAAAATACCCTTTTGTCTGAAGTCATGGAAGAAGACGAGCGGTGACAGAGATGCCTAGAAGGGTGAAGATGAGCAGGGCTTCAACTGGATGTACAGTGGGTTCCACGACTGGTTGAGCAGCCATAGCGCTCAACTAATGCTTGCAACATGTGGTAGGAAATCTGGACTGGTGTGTTGTTCTCCCATTATTTATAGAGTATGCAGAGAGGAAAAGAGCCGTAGAAGCGTAAATTAGGATCATGGAGAAATCAATGATGGCATTACTAATCGTTGTCATTGCAGGAGCATCCTTTTGTGAGGAGCCACCACCATATAGCCTTCTCTAACTGTGATTGTTGTTGGTGCAGCCAACAACAACGTTTCACCTTTGCTGCCGTACGTAGAGGGAGTGATAGAACGCTACCACCTTCGGAACTCGTTTCACCTTTGCTGCTGCCGCTTTCAGGCATATAAAAAGAATCCACTCAATTACAAGCCTAACTTTTAGTTTCTTGCGTGAATTTTTCTCCACAGGAATATTTTTGTAAATATCTTCGTCGTCATCATCATTATCATCTCCTTTCGCCCAGGTGACGCCATCAATGGCGTTTTTGGTGTCACGGGAGCTGTCTATAAATTTTCTCTAGGAGTTGTGTGGAAGTGATACTATTAGTCGGAGAAGCCCTTTTAGGCGATGACATGTAAGGCAGTTTGGAAGCTTGGTTCGATAAGGTGTTCTCTTCAACCAAATTCACTGTAGTATGAGGTATGACCAGACAGATCAACATATCTAGCTTTGGGTTTTGAAAAAACAAACCTCAGCATCAACTTTCTCTGAACAAGGCCTAATGTTGAGATTTTGGGAGGCTTGTTTGCACTTGGAATGACCTTTGACATATCTGGAGAAGGATAACTCATAAGTGTTGACAGTTGCGTTTCGGATTTAAGTCCATCCAGCTCCCAGTGTCCTGCATTTGAAGCCGGAGATCCCAAGCTAGAATTTTTCCGAGCTAAAGCTTCTGAGTCCTTCAAATATGAGTAACAAGCTCCTGCATCTTTTGATATGCGTGTTTTAGCTTCTTTGTTCACTTATGAAGCTTCTTCTTTTGCTTGAGATCATGACAACCACTTCAACCCCATCATTATTGTTCCTCTCTGTAACACTTTTGTCAGTGTTTAGAGTAGCTTTTCCGTTAACGTCCATGGAAAACCACTCACTTTCTCTCTCAATCACTGAAAACCAGAAGCAATAGAAGCTCGTTTGCAGGTCTACACCTTGCTAACCTGTAGCAAACCAATTCCTATACCACTACCAGTTTTTCCTGTAAAGATACGAACACCACTTGCTATATTCAGAATTTTTAGCAATTTAAATTCAAATTTGTTCAAACATCCCATGGCCTTCTAGGGTTAGCTTCTCTATTCAGGAAGGCTGTAAAGCTAATGGCAATGGGGGTTTCCACTCAGAGTGGTCAGTCGTGTTTTTGGAATATCAGACGCCACTTGATTGCCATAGAGAAGTTTAATTTTAAGGTCTTCAAATCGATTGTATTCTTGGAATATCAGATGCCAATAAATGGATCGAAACCGAATGAATGTGGCCTGGAAGTTCCAGAACAAGAGAGCTACTCAACAAAATACTATCTTCTAGACTTTTCCCGCCTCAGCTTCATTTGTCATATTCCAGCATCGGACAACGTTTTTGCCGCTGCATTAGCTAGAGATAGATATATGGAGAGAGAGAGATTAGGCGCCACTGCCATAGAGGGAGTGATAGAATGCTATCACCTCTAGAACATGTTTCGCCTTTGATGTTGCAGTTTTCAACCCCTTCGTCGGTGGTGGTGGCAGTAGCAGTGGTGAGGAGGAAGAAGAAAGAAGAGGGAGTGAGAGAGCTGAAAGGGGAAATAGATTACGGTCTTCAAAATTTTCATTAGTGGAGTTTTATTTTGAAATTTTGAATAGTGGACATTATGTTTTTTCCTGTCAATTGTCATAAAAGTTATGGGTATTTTATGTAAATAATAAAAATAGAGTTAGTCAATTAGTTAAACTATATGGGTAGTTTAAAAAATTTGTCCTTTCTTTCGATTTCTTATTACAAATATGTGCATATCAACCAATATGCCACCGATACACCTCAATACACTACCAATATACTTTAATATGTGATCGATATGGAGCAATATAGTGGGGAAATTAAGAACCACCTTGTTTCCTATTGTTCTTGCATTGTATATATACGATACAATACACCTTTATCGGGCATGTTGTGTTGAAATTTTAAATGGTGGTAGCACATAGGGTAGGAGAGAGAGAGATGGTTAGTATGTGTTAAGGTTATTTATATCACATTAAAAAGCAAATGAGTGATGAAATTATATCAAGTGGGTTGGGGTTGTTTCTACCATTTAAAAATTACTTTTTATAAAACCAAAAGAAAGTGTGGTATAAGGGAAGTATGTAATTTAGAGAACATTTTGGCAGGTAAATGGAAGTTTTAGATATTGTAAAAAATAAGGGGATATTTTTTATAATTTGGCATTTTAAAATTTTGATTTTACATTTGCTTCGATAGGAGTTTACAACTAGTGATATGGCTATGTTTTGTTGCACATAAAATGAAGAAAGACATAAGATTCTTCTGAAAATTGATATTAAATAATAGTTGAATTCTATGATTCCAATGTGAAACTGCATTAGCTGGTTGGGACAGTGTTAGGAGTGTTGTGTTAGTAGCTAATCACTACCCATTGCATGGACTTCCCTAAATGGATTACCTGTTGGGCACGAACCCGGTTGAGCTTACTCCATGGATTCTTGATAGAGTTGCAACTTGGGCAGCCTTAGATTCAGCAATGGGCCTAGCCCGAGGACCAAGCCTGATACTGTGTAAATTTTTTAAGTCAGTTACTTGTTTTGAAACCCTAGTTCTTGAGGACATTTCTGTTTTGTCTCTTCATTTGTCATTCATTGGTATTCATTCAAATTGGCATGTGTTTCTGACTGGTTAAATATTTTTAGGTATGATTTCTTTCCAATGTTACAACATACTTTTCCATAAACATGTCTGTGAGTCTATGTTTTCTCACCCAAGGATTTAAGTATTGACACGATATGCCCGATACTAGGCGTATCGTATCAGTATCGGCTTTATTCGGCACACGATACACTACGATTGGAGGTATATCCTATCAGTCGTGTGTATCAAAGCGTATCAAGTCGATACGGGCGTGTATCACCTTGTATCGGTGCGTATCATTCCAATACCATGTGATACAGATTGATACACAAATTTGTTTATTAAAAATTAAAGACAATCACACAGCTCAAACTTGGGTCCTCCTAGATGGCAGGCACATTTATCTTAAGACAACTCGTAAACCATTAAGACAACTTTGCACTTGTGTAAATATTTAAAATAACAATACTTTTATTACATATAGCATCTACATAGTACATGTAATTCAAATAAATAACATATTTATGTACAATAATTTTAACTAAAAATTATAAAGAACAATAGTCAAAATTGATATTTTATAAAACAATAGAATAAATAATCTATCAAATCTACATGATTTTAATCTCTAGAAATTTATGCAAATAAAATATTAATAATAAAATAATTATTTTAATACTTGAAATTAATATATATTAAATTATTAATTAATTAACGTTTTAATTTACATTACATTAAATAACAACATATTAAATATTTCCAAAAATAAAAAATATTTAGAAAATATTTGAGAGTATGATATTATAAAATCTATCAACTCTACTAATCAACATTTATACCAAAAAATGATTTTTAATTTTAGAAAAAACTATAGAAACAAAATTATCAATAATGTAATAATTTTATTAGTAATTAAAAATTTGCATATTATATCTTATAAATTTTAAGAGATTTGATATATTTTAAATTGAAATTATATTTTTTATAAATTATTAATTGACTTTTAGTTTACATCTGAGAATTTAATATTTAGTTGACTTTTTTGTTAATGTTAAAAATTAAAAATAGTACAATAGAAAATAATTGATATAATAATTAAAATATGATATGTGCATATGTTATGTGTCTTGACTCTTGATTGATGCATTATCAATAAAATTATGTGATATTTATGCATCATGCTATATTAATTGTAATAAATTTTATCATATATACCATTAAAATGTACATTTCCTTTATATTTATACATTATTTATGACTATTTAATTTTAAATTTAGTGTTTTTAATATATTTATAAAATTTGTAATGTTTCTTAGTCGTATCTATGCATTTCTAAAGTGTACCCGATGTTACCCATAAACATCTTGGGCTTATACTGTTACGCACGATAGAGAATCACAGCAAATTAAGCAGATATACAGGAGAGACGTCTGGGTGGTGGCTGGCAGGTTGAATTCAAAGTGAGTGGTCCAATGTCAAATCCTCCTGATTGTTCTTGGACCTGGCATAAAACCCAAGAAGGATTTGAAACAATCCTGAAATAAATGAAAACCTGAAGTTTGATAGACATGGAAACCTATAGGAATTGCACATCAAAGCTTTTATATATATTCAATTAATATGAAAAATGGATTCTACATTTTACAAGGGCAATATATATTTATAGCAACGTTACAGAACCCACACTAGAAGATGAATGAGAAGCAGCAAGCAGAGCAGCTCCAATTCCTGACCCATCTTCTAAAATTTTGAGGACAACATATGGAGCAACCTCTTCCCCTAATATCTCGGCCACAGCTTCGCTCAAGTACTCCCTGAACATGGAATAACTGGCATATAGGCCACCCTCTATCGCTACAACCGTTCTTCTCATTCGGCTTGATGGTTCTCCAGTCTTGGTTCTTACACTCATTACGCCACCACTCCCATCCCTACCAATCTTCTTCAAGATTCCTACAATACCAGCTGCTGCCAATCGGGCAGCCCTCCGTGTCACGATGTCACATACTCTGACAATCACCTTTCTTACCTTCAGAGGGACATTGGTTAACTGAAAAGGAACACCATGACAAAAAGAGAATCAGAGGACTTGACAACTTTGATACAGTTAAATGATACACGAGGGGAAGCTATGTACCTCGAGAGTTTCTTGCAGGATTCTTGATACTTCTCTCAAGTCAGGAGATTCATCCTCATGTATGGCAGCCATAAGAGGCGTCCTAGATTTGTTTAGAGGAAAACATTTAAATTTGTTGCATATTTATTCAAGAATTTCAGCAAAAATAATTGGACCAAGTTGCAAAGACAACTACTTGCATAAATATGGACAACTCTGGTGTATGAATTTTCAGTCATTGAAGATTGTATATAAACTCCATCATTAATTGTCGTCATATCATTAAGTAGACGCCAAAGATAATTGCATGATTAGCAAAGAATTACATTTGGAGCATATCAAAAAAATATGCAAAAGCCACGTAGGAGTTGAACCACACCACAATGATGTTCCAAGAATATTGTGAAATTTGCAGGAAAGATACAGTTATAGAACTCCACCAGATAAAGGGAGGAGAGTGTGTCAGGTTGGCAGCCAGCACTAAAATTTCTGCAAAAATTCTCATGATATGGGTCCTGATTTATCTTTCTGTGAACTAAAACGGATTGAGAAAACAGGATTCATGTAGCCAACCCCATATAATTGGGACAAGGCATTGATGATGATGATGATACAACTAGTAGAAGGATCCAAAAGAGAATCCTATCAGAGATCCTTAGAGAAGCGATTCTACACAAGTATAACAAGCCAAAAATAGTTTAACCATCCCTAATAAGGCAAAGAAACAAGCCATAATAACAATTTACCTTGCACTAGAAAAACTGAAAACCAGGAAAAAAACTGTTCATCTATGTCGGTAAAGGGAGGGGGATAAGAAACAACTAGGCATAGGACTCACATAAATGACCAAAAGCAATACATGAAAATATCAATTAGAGAACGAAAACATGACACATACCTCAAGATAAAGGGCTCTGAAAGCCTACATGTGGCATCCCCAAAAATATCAGACTCCTCTGCCATCCTAAGCATTACCCTTCTTACAATATCACCAAGATACATTCCTGAAATCATCTTCTCAAATCCCTGAACATTACAAGGGCATATTATAAATTAAATCATCAATGAGGAAGGCAGATTTGAACAAATGTTTGTGCTGTAACAACAGTTGGCTCTTGCCTGATCATTAGGATTAGGACTATCAGCATCTAGATCAGTATCATATGAAGTTCTTGGCAGATGAGTTGACCAGAAATTTCCCCATTCCATGTTTACAACCTGATTAATAGGATATGACTTAGTAGTGGACATATAAATAGAGCAGGTGCATTTGTCCTTAAACTCAGCAACTAAAATATTCAGCTACATAGAAAAGATACCATGCCTCCAGATTTTGTTAGAAGGCCTTGGGACTTGATAATTGCATCTGTTCGCTCCACATAGCATGCATTTGTGCCTGTTCCAATAATCACTGCAGCAACAGTGTCCTCATCATGATAATGTCCAAGAGCTAATGTTCCCACAGTATCATTCACCTGCTTACATAGACCAGAAGATTATGCTCACATGACCTAGCTACACTACTAGTATCTCTAACCATGACAAATACAAATACAACTACATGCATATTTGTATGACAAATATATTCATGCCTATGCATATGGTCTTGAATCAGTGTTTTAAAAGGCGTGGGAGGCATACGCCTGGAGGCGCCCCCAAAACGCCCTGAGGCGTATGCCAGAGGCAATAATACCTCTGAGGCATACACCTTATACGCTTTTTCATGAGGCGTGCTAGAGATGTACGCCTCATGCACACCTCATGTAAAAAAACAAAAAAAAAGGAAAGGAAAGTTAAGGAAAAGAAAGGGAAGGGGAAGAAAAAGAAAGAGAAGAAAAAAAAAAAAAGAGAAAAAGAAAGAAAAGAAAAGGGAAGGGAAGATGAGGGGAAAGAAAGTCGGCCGGGGGCTAAGCCCCCGGACCCCTTGGCTGGGGGGGCAAAGCCCCCCTTACAACTAGTGCTATGCATCTTCATTTTTCTTAATATATAAAGAAAAATGAGAATTTTCTTCCTCCTTCCTCCTCATCCCCCTCCTCTTAAGGAGGCTTACGCCTCTACGGAGTGGAACGCCTCGTGTCACGACTCCGCGTTTTTAAACATTGGTCTGAATGTTACAAATGAGGAAAAGCTACCCATTACACATCAAATACAAATAACGAAAATCCCAAAGTAGAAACGTTGTTTTGAAATGTAAACAGATTTTTTTTCTCAATCCCTTCCAAAATTGACCAATTGTCGGTGGCTTATGAATAAAGTTTTCAATCTTGAAATTTACTATTCATAGTAAAAAATAAATTACTATTTAGTAGTAACCTTTGGGATGGTAATTTCCATAAATACTAGTTACATTAGAATGATAAGTTGAAAACTGACCATTTTTAGTAATTTTTTTATTTCTTTACATTTAGTTTTAGTAGAACTAGTAAAATGTTATAATAGTTGTTTTGGAGTTAGATTGGGAACTTAACTAGTAATATTGATAGTAGGGGTGTTCAAATTCGGATGGTAAACCGAAAACCGAACTGAACCAAACTGAATAAGCTAGTTCGGTTCGGTTAATTCGGATGTTGTTCGGTTCAATTTTTGCTTCTTTAAAAAATCGGTTTAAATTTTGGCTTGGTTGAGATTTTCAACCAAACAGAACTAAAAAACCAAACTAGTGGTTGTATCTAATTAACTCTATTAAATATATAATATTCTATTTAAAACTTTATACTTATTAATTAATAATCATTATCTTTTACAATGGCCAATTTGCAATTCCCCATAGTGCTTTACAGCTTTAGGTCTATTCTAGCTTTTAATTAATAATAGTTAATTAATTATCTAAAGACTCTAAACAACTAAGGCATTAAAACCTAGATTAATTATTAATTATTCATTAATTGTTTGTGAATAATGGGTGTAGTTGTTTTAAATAATTAGTCATTAACTTGTTCATTAAATGAATGTAGTTGAATTAATTGTACATTAAGACCTAGATTAATTATTAAAACCTATACTAAAGTCTAATAATTAATTGTTCATTAATTATTAAAACCGAACTGAATTCGGTTAGGATTGGTTCGGTTCTGAACTCTAATTCAGTTTGATTGGGAGAGATGGTCAAACCGAATAGTCAGTTAGGTCATCAGTTCTAACTGAACCAAACCAACTGATTGTACACCTCTAATCGATAGATTGTACACCCCAAATTGATACAACCTTTCTATTTTTATTAGTCTGAATACAAGGATAAGAGTCCAAGCACAAGTAGGAAGTGGCTATTTGTTGTTTCTTATTGACCTATAAAAGAGTGGCAATTGTCAACAGGTCTTATCAAAACACCCATTCACCATATCATTTTTTTCCAAGAAAAACTTTATTAAAGACAAAAAAGGATTACATCCACAACAGGTGTTAAGATAGCATCCAAAAATCTTCGCAGCTTCCTTCCTCATCCCAATTTTCTCCTTCAAGAGTATCTGCAATTCTCCCCGCATTTTCTTCTTTCCTCTTCCTTTCAAATGCTTTCCTAACAAGAATTTCCCCTCCCAAGAAGTATAAGCCTAGAGACTTTCCGATTTCCACTTCTCTATCAACTAAGCTCTTCAAAGTTAAGCTTCCTCTTTTTTCTTCTCCTCCATCTCCACATTTGAAGAGGATTCAATGCTCTTATTTTCAATTGAGCACTACAAACTCCCTTCCAAGCCAAACTTTCTCAGATCCTTATCTTGGGAGATTGCTGAAAGAATCATGTTCCCATCTTCAACCTGCGAGGGTTGTTTCTCCACTTGGGTGATCTCCAAATTTGAACTAAAAGAGTCGGGAGTCTCCACTTCATTTGAAGCCTTCGAGATCGACAGTTTTGGCTTACCTCCTTTTCTAAGATATACCCTTTTACCATTCACCATATCATTGCCATACCAATTTCTGTTTTATTCAATCGAGTGTCGAGTTTTCTTCTACTTTTCCCTATATTCAGCTACTATAGAGTTGTTTATTTATCTACTCTTCCATATTGTTCTATTGTTCAATAATAAGTTCTTTTTCTTCAATTAGTTTATTGTTTGGTGAAATCCAATTGCATCAGAGTTCCAACTCATCCCATTCAAAGGACGCAAAGAGAGTTTTTATGCAAGAACAAATAGTGAAATGTGACAAAATACAGGATAAACCAGCGTTCTGAAAGCATTGAGTGCTACTGTTATCATAGGCAAGCACCTTGGTTGCCTGGGAAGAGAGGTGAGGTAGGGGAAACCCAATCGCACCTGACTCTCTTAACTCTATTTCTGGTAGGCGTACCTGACTCTATGTGCACACCTCATGAGTCAAGTGGCAACCAAGGCACTGCCACTCACACCTAGCTCTCTAGAAGTATGAATTTGAGCATGCATTGGGTGAGGAGATCAGCTAATGGGATGGTGGATACTCTAGCTAAACAAGGGGTGAATACATACTACAACAATAGCGTATAGGAAGGGTTTTAGTATTATTTCATGTGTATAAACAGGATATGAAGGCTCTTGCACGTGAGAAAACCCTAATTCAAATCCAGTTAAAGTTCGAAGGGTTTTACTTTTAGTATAGGAAGGGCTTTAGTATTATTTCTTTTATTCATAACTTTTTCATGAATCTGTAGGTTTTCTATGGTTCAAATGAAGTTTATAAAATTTTTAATGAAGATAACAGACAATCACTAGTGAAAGATGGTTGTTTTTTGCTATGAAACCTACTAAATTACCCTAGGATTTATGATTTTTATTAAAAAACTCCATCACCTAGGCAACTAGAAGACAAGGCACCACCAGTTGCCTAGCCTTGCGCCCTTGCCTTGGCACCTTGAAAACTATAAAAGCAATACGACATACTACGAGAGAAAGTAGATTTCTGGTATAAGAGCTAGAGGCAATAGTCTAGTTGGTTCAAAGATCAGAAGATGGTTTAGCAGACAGATTGTTACATGTCATGGTTAAAGAGGGTTAGGTGGAGTTTTCCAGCCAATGCTATGGGATGTTATCATATTTGCAAATGCCATTCTTTTTGATAAAACTTTACAATTATCAAACACAGGAAAAATAATAGAGAGAGAATGTGTGTGTGTCAATCACAGAGAAAACAAAAAAGGGGGATTGAGGAGTGATTAGAGAGAAAAGGAAAGACACCGATTTGAGATAGAGGAAAAAAGGTATTTCTGTTGTGATTTACTCAAATCAACATTGTGGTTCTCTAAATAGAAAATTAATTTATTATGCTGCCTTATACACACTTTTAACCTTATCCATACAACACAACGTGGTTAAGATGCAGTAGACCTAAAATTTGTAAACCAGCGATACAAAAATACTAAGATGAGGCACAAGGTACCAACCAGCGGGTTGGCAAGGTCTCCTGCTGGTCGTAGCGGAGACTTGGGATCAAATCCCACCTGCACCTGGTTTGGGGGTTATGGGTTAGGGGGATGAAGTATACAACCGTTGTGTAGCCCTTCAAAAAAAATTTAAAAAAAAAATGCTAAGATGAGGCAAAGGTAAACCTGAAAACAACACATTATTGCCTTGAAAACTATGAGTCTCAATCAAACTCGTATAGTTATACTACAACCAACAAAATGGTAAAAGGTAGATTACAAATAGGTTTATCTTAAAAGCAATAAGGAGTAGTTTTTGGTCAATTCCTACCCTAAATTGAAAGCCTCCCAACTCCTAACTAATTTCATTCAAGAAAAAGATTGCAGAACGTATCGTCACAAGAATGACAACATGAACAATACAAAAACATCATAAAGCTTGTTGAGTTGGGCCGATTTCTAGTTATTGGGCTCAGTTATTTATCTCTTAGTTTTAATTTGTTAAGTCAGGAAGTTGTTGGACTTTAGGCCCATTAGTTTATGTTTTTTAAGTTGTGACTGCTCAGCCACTTAAGTAGCCGTCCTACTAAGGGCATTCTTGTAATCTCTTATTCTTTAAAGTATATAATACAATGAGGGGTTGGCGGCCAAAACTAATTTCAATTCTGGTTGACATCCTACTCTTTTCTTCTATACTGCTGAAACTCTTGTCAGACAATGTATGCCCTTAGCTCCAATCAGATTGATATACTCATTGTCATTTATTGTAAATGAATAAAGTGCATAATTGATTCATGTTATTATGGTGTGTTTTTGTGTAATACCGTTAAACTGGACACTTATGAGACTCGTATTAGTTTAAAATTTTCACAGCCATTGGATAGATCTGGGGAGATTTATCCTACCAAGGCTAACACTGGTGTGCCACCAAGTTGGTTGGGGTGGCTTGCCTCAGCTACCAGGGTGAGACCTGAGGTACATGCAGTGTGGGTTTTCTTAAAACCCTGAACCGGACCAAATTCCAGTATTGCCCTGGACCTTGGAGATAAATGGGCAAAACTGGAATGTTACTCCTGACCCCTAAACTTGATTATGGTACTACACTAGGTGTCGGATTGGGATGTCTTTGATATGCTGGGACAGTTC